GCTTCTATTTGTTAATTGTGCGGAAGTGTGAGATAGGGACCACACGGCTTGACGGATCGGAGAGTTAAGACGCCTACTACGATTGTGATTGGTTGCTACCCTCTGACCGTAAATCGTCAAATAGTCAAACTTCGTTTTCAAACTCTTAATGGGCTTAGTACGTCCCTTCAATAAAGCCCAATACACTCCGTGAATGTCGTTCAAATGAAATTTTTTTTTTTTTTTGTCGCCAATGTTCTATTTTACTTGAAACACTTAACATCTTACAATACACCATTTTCATACACAAGATACACCATTTTCATACCCATATTCCAAGAAACAACATGGTTTTGATAAGTAGACCTTGCCCACTTTGTTAGTACATCTGCTTCCACATTTGATCCTTTTTTGATGTGCGAAAATCTATAATTCAGCCTCGGTTCAGAAAGTAAGCAAATATCTTTCAGATATGTTACCAGATGATGATGATTCAAGCCTTTGCTATTGTTTTCCAAACTTCTGCAATTAAGCGTATACTAAATGTCATTTGCATCTCCACAGAAAATAACATCTTGATAGCCCAAAGCTCTTACTTGCATGATTGCTTCTCTGAGAGCAATTGCTTCAGCTTCTATAGGGTTCCTTGTTGGCTCAATTGAAGCATATCATTTAAGAACTTGCCTTCCTTCAGGGCTTTTTAGAATCCAACCAAATCCTGCTCTGCTTTCCGGCGAGATCCATGAGGCATCTACAAAACAGCAATTAGAGTTAGAGATTTGAGTTGCCTCAGCCCTTTGCTGTCTTCCTCTATTTTGCTCTCTATTTTCATCTAGGTAGTTTGCTTCTAACCACAGTCTTTTATCCATTAAGACTTTGTTTTATAACCTCAGGATTTGACCACTTCTTATTTTGAAAAACAAGATCATTTCTAGTTTTCCAAATTCTCATGCCTAGATATGAAGCAAATGTGCTTGAATCATCATCCCCTGATAACAGAGCACCAATATTGATTTTCAAATCATCCATACCTAGCTGCTCTTGACATCACTTCTGGTTGGTGAGAGCTCCCAAACTTCCTTAGAGAACCTA